CAAACCCACACCTCCTATCTCCAAGTAACACAGCAGAACAGCTGGCAGTCTCCAGCTGGCTCGCAAATTCATCTTGAAGAGCAAAAAAGGTTAAGAAAGACAGGCAAAAACCCCACAGCACTGGGTAGTGAAAAACGAAAGTCCTGAGTGAGCAAAATGAGATGGGGAAAAAATCCTCATTGCTACTGCTCAGCAGCAGAGAAATCTCTTATGGAGATGTGCCCTCTCCCGGCCTCACTGGGAAAGCCTGGAGGGAGCACAGGTGCCGGGGCCAGAGGCGCTGCGGGGAGGTTTGTGAGCCCGTGGTGCTCTAATACCCGCAAGCAAATGAGTGAAACGCGTATCAGGCCGGCAGTTACGTATTAGCAAGTCTTTTGGGTCAGGATTTAAATAAACAGAGGGGCTGCCCAAGGTTCAGCTCCCAGGTGGCCATTTAAGCACTGTTTTTTTTCTCAAGCATCAGAGCACCTGAGCCTAAAGCCAGCTTCAGCTCCTGAGATTGCATTTGGACACTTGCCAGCAGTGTGAAAGTCTCACCTCGCGTTTGGGTGCTTGGGGATGGTTTCCTGAACTCAGCTTTCATTCTCATCTGGGTTTTCTTGGGGGGGTGGGTGGATGTTATTATTGCTGTGCTTCGTTTTGGTTCCAAACGAGGGCCAGGGAAGGAAAGCTCAGGCAAGGCTGACCATACCCAAGCCCTGCCACGTGGAGGGCACCCCGGCTGCAAACCCCCCACCCCACCTCTTAGGAGCTGCTCCAAACCATGCCACTCATGCAGCTACAGTCCAGGGCACCCACAGGAGCCCACAGCCAGCTGGGAACAGTGCCTATCTTACAGATTGCCAGCCATGAAGCATCCTTTATTTTAGCTCATCAGTGCATAGGAGTTGCCTTATTGATTCTGTTAAAAATCATACACTTCCCTTTCCAATATGATTTTGGCCTAGCTTGCAGGCCAAACCACCGCCAGACTGAGGGTTCCTGCATTAACACATCTCTCTTGCCCAGTGACAAACTGACAGACAACACTCAAACTTCCATTCCTAAATAAACTGGACAGTTGGAATGGTTAAAATCTTTAATGAAATAGAGCATGTCTTGCCATCCTTAGGACATTCCCCTGCCCTCTTCAGTACCACCACCCCCTTCAAACTATGGATGTCAAAAGCAGGAGCATGGTCTTCCAAGAGCAGCTCTCCCTATGCCCAGCACAGGAGCAGCCTCCCCACCCCAACCTCTGCTAGGGTTAGCACCCATCATTCTTCCATGCAAAACACCACTAGAAACACATCATAACAAATTCTTATCAGAGAAGAAAACTGTGTAGAAAGTTGTTTTGAAATGTTCAAAGTGGCTCTGCTAACATAGCAGACTCATGCAATATTACTCTGTAGCACAGTATCACTTTAACAGTCTGGCACAGCTAAAAATCAAGCAGAAAAGACCCAGAAGTGCAATTGACCTAATACCATATTATTGGAACTTTTTACTTGTCAGGCTGAAAGATTTGGGAAGTTTTCTCTCAGTTTACAAAAGATCCAGAACAAATCTTCTGTGTCATCCTACTATAAGCACTAGCCCTCATGGGTTAGTGGGGAAATGGACCTTTCACATAGAGAATGAAAACAAGGCCTGATTTATGGCCCCAGCACTTCTGCCCTAGCAATAAACACAAAGCCTTGTACTATAAAACTACACAGGTTTGGTTTCCTGTATGATTTAGCTGAGCATGGAGTTCTTCATTTAAAAGAAGACACAATTGTGTTCCTGTGCTCATTTTCAAGCCAATGATGATACTCCACTTCTCTGACCACACAGTAGGGAGCCACAGGACACACAGAGAAAGAATTGCCAGATAGTGTCATGCTAGTCACCCTTACAGAAGGGAGCCTTACTTCCATTGTAGCCCTGTAGCACGGTCAGTACTGGGTCACCATTGCTATTAGCTGGCCACAGCCCTTCTACTCCCATGGCAATAAAAAGTTTAAGGGTTTGAGAAATGTTGTTGTGAGCTTGTCTGTTCTTGAACTTTAGCTTGTTGTAGTTGTATCAACCCACTACCAGTAGTCAATTGACTACAGTCTAATTTGGTTTAGCTACAATGGCAGAACTGTCTAGCAGTTTAATGCTTAGTCTTCAGCTTTAGACTAGTTTTGTATAACTCCAATTATTACACCAAAACATTATACCATATATGTTCATGGATTTGCTATCTTGTTAACACTACTGAATTTATAGACCCATCAGAAACATGTCAGCTGTTTGGAAATGTGCACAAACAGCATCAAGCTGTCCCAACAAATCCCTCACAGCCAGTATCAGTATGTCTGATTACCTGCACCAGCTGAAATAGCTGCACCATCCCATCTGAAGAAAAAATGACCCTCCACCATTAACCACAGGCAGATAGGTGAAGATTATACAGAGAAGAGGGGAAGATGGTAGAAAGTCTATATAATGGTTTTAATTAATAGGAATTAACAGTAATTCAAAAATTTGGCCAGTAAGTGCCCATAGCATTGGAAGTAGATAATAACAGCTGCTTGCTATTTTGACTAGATTGCTAAAGCAATGAGTTACACTAACAATACATTGCAATCCTTTGCTCCATGAGTCAGGTGTTTATTCTAAGTGTAACATTATCAGTTCTTAGAGCCGAGTGAAAAAACACTAGTACTTAGCTCCTTTTGCTATTTTGTTCCCGTTTTTTCCTCCACTGAGAATTTTCATTGACTATTTTTCATTTAACTTTCTCTCTTCAATTATGGAATATATTTTGTGCAATCCCTTCCTGACCTTAAGACTTCAGAGGGGTTTTCAAAGGATCTACTGACTTGTTGATAGAGAACTTTACATGCATCCATACTACAATGCCTCCTGCACTGTTTTCCCCGCCCAATACATTGTGAGAATAAGAAGTTATTTTATTCCAGAAACAATTCTGACTCATCAATTTACACTCCAGTTGCCGCATTTGTTAATTAGTTTGCCTAGAAGAATACAGCATTCAAATCTCTGGAACTAAACCAGAGGTTCAGGTGCCTTGCTCCTTTCAGAATCACACATCTATTTTCCTCATCCTTATTCCCACAGTATCATTCTTTCTTGTCAGAATATTATGTGCAAGTTTCACCTTCTGTTCCTTCTGCTTTGGCACACTTTCTGCAATTCAGGCTCCTCAGTGTTTCTTGATCCTATCAGGTGAAAAGGAAAAAGGCCTTGATGGAGGTGGTTTTCTAACTAATGGATTCTCAAAGCCCAAGTGTGGATGAACTACAGGGCACCAGTGGGCAACAGGGGTTCCTGCCAAATGGCTCATTTCACTTTATGCATCTACACCAGGTAGGGGGTGGCAGTGAGGCAACCACTTTTAGTCAGGTAAAAAACACCTTCCTTCCCTTGCCTGTAGAGAAGACAAGGATCCTAATCTCCTGCAGTAGAAACCTTAGTAAAGGGGTATTTTCCTTTCTCATGAGCATTCATAATACAGCCATAAGAACATCTCCACCTACATCCCATTAGTTTCCTAACAGAACTTTACAGTTAAATTTCTTTCAGCTTCTTAGAACAAAATACATAACCAAATACACACATTTCCCCACGTAGATATAAATACTACAGCATCCACATGAAATTTATGCTAAATTTAGCCTGTTCATTGCACACCTTAACAAAGCAGCAGCTGGCAACCCCTGAGAGCATGAAAATGCTATTTTAAGAGAGTCTGTTGTGTTAATACATTCATGCTCCCACCTACAGTATGCTAACAGACATAGTTCTAAACACACGCTGATGCCAAATGCAGGTATTTAATAAAGAGATATAGAAGACCACAGCTCTAGTCCAAAGAGAAAACCGGTCACTTAACACACGCTTAAAATGCGTTGTCTGTGTATGGTTCATCAGAAGATTCTTCCATCCAGATTCTCTGCAGTCATTTCTCCCTGTGAGTTGAGAACGTACTTGTGGGACTAGGGGTTTTGGCTTCCTTCTTCTTTTGGTTTATATGTAAATGTGTTTAAATTTTTGTCTTGGAAAGCAAAGCATTTATCTCTTGACTTCCCTGTTATTCAGTACTATTTTTCCCATAGATAGAAAAAAGGGATAGTATGGAATTCACATGCTTACTTTAAGCAACCATTTCTTATTTTGAATACTTGCTTACCTATAGACAATTTACTTTCACTATAGATAGTAGTGATACATTGGAGACAGGTGCTAGGAATTACCTAAACAAGTCACAGAAGGTACTCAGCTGGTGAAACTATTTAGAGAATTCACTGCGAACCAGTCAGCTACCCTCCATGTTTAATGGAAAAACATGTTGAAAGCTATGGGTACTGCTTGAGGCCAGCAAACCTGGTTCTTTCTATCAAGGATCCAAATGATTTAAATAATTGAACAAATACAAAAACCCACTTAGAAACTTCCTCCAGATTGATAAATATGTATTCATCAATACAATACCAAATGATCATTTTCTAAACAGTTTTTGACTGCAAGACAGTCAAATGAGAGCCTTTACGCACATACTTGGTTTGAAGATTTCCTTTTGCCTACCTCAGCAAGGAAAAAGCAGAGTTGACCAGTACAGGTCAGACCTCACCCTAAACTAAGCAGAGCTTATGCCCCTCTGCCCATGTTCTCTGCTGATAATCTGTTTATCTGTAATAGTTTACAAACAGATGCATTTGGTACTACCTACGACTACAGGCTCACTTAATGCTGCCTGAAACAGAGCTCATATGTAGTCTCCTCTGAATAAATGAGGAGGAACCCTCCCATGTTGTGTTCCTAGTGTTATTTTCCTGGGTTGTATGCTCTTTCTTATATGAAAGGCAGCCCTGGTATTTTATTTTTTTTTCTAGGATTTGTCTAACATTACACAGATGAAGTCTATTAGGTCACTTAACATCATTCAAAAAACTTGTTAGAGAAGAAACTACCAAGAAATCACACTGGAGTAGTCAGACTGGAAGGACTAGTGCTTATAACAAGTCCTTTGGCAGGTATGCAAGTAACAAAATGTTTTACATACCTGATCATGAAAGAATACAGGATCCATCACTAAAAGCTAAATTCAAGTACTTCTTCAAAACAAAGCAGTACACAGAGAAAAGGGGGGGGGGGAGCAGCTTTTGTAAGAGAAACAATGCCTACCCATGCAGAGAACAGTGGTAAGCTCATTCTAGGTTTTTGGAGAAAATATAAAAAAATTCAGGTAACCAAAAAAGAAAAATCCACACACCACAAACCAAATAAAAACCAAAACCCCAAACCAAACAACCCAACTTACTCTAGAGTACAATTACTTTTGTTTTATTGAAAAAAAAAAATACTTGGAACACTCAGACTACATAAGAAACCCTGATAATTAAATACACAGAAGATTAATGACAAATAACAAATATGTGCATCAAAACAATGAAGTACCAGCAAGTGTTTTTAACTGGCATTTTGCATTTGTTGTATACAAATACACCAAAGCAAATACACCAAGCTTTGCTAAAAGGTGTGCTTCTGCCAGCCTTGTTTGTTTGCCTTCCCTTGAGGCTGTAAATAGTATGACCTTCAATATTGCATGAAAAACCATTTTATCTAATGTAACGTAGAAAAAGACTTTAAAAACATTTTAGCCTCGAGCTTACAGAACAAAACCATAACAACCACCCGATACACACACTGCACCATTCCGGTCTCTGAGCACAGGTCAAACAAAGGCTGTGGAGAGGAGAAAAAGGACATATGTTGTTCTTTCAGACATCACAGGGATTTTTTTGTTTTATGGGTTTAGGGAGGAGATGCACACCCAGTTCAGTAGATACTGAATAGCAGGGTATTCAAGAGATAAATGCTTTGCTTTCGAAGACAAAAATTTAAACACATATTTACAAAGTCTACAGAAATTAGATTAAAAAAAAATTGTTTCTGTCTGGTGTATTCTTTTAACAGAAAGTAGAGGAGCTCCTTGTCTGTGACGAAGACTCATAGTCAGCATTGTTCTACAAAGGAACAAGCCAATATCTTTCAGTTCTCTGCACAGCTTTTGCAGTGCTCCCACACATTCCAGAGGATTACAAGGACAAATTTCACATACACCATTCTCCTGCAGTTAAACCTCCTGCACGTAATTTCTTTCAGACTTTTTTGTGAAGAGAAGCTATACTCGATTCAACAGCAGCCACTTTTGTCTCCAGAACCTTTAATACAGCGTCTACCTGTAAACAGGGGAAGATACTCTGCTATAAACATTACTTGACAATACAAAGAGCAAGTGCAGGTGTCAGTAAGTGCTCAAATTTGATCTTGCATAACCAGTCTTGTCTGTGTCTATTCCTGCTAGCTTGGAAGTATCTAATACTTCCAAGATAGGTACTATAAAGTATCTAATACTGTAGCTTGGAAGTTCACTAGACTCTAACATTAGCTCTCCACACTTTCTCAGATCTTTAATTGTCTCTAGCCTTGGTGTCAGATCCTCACATTCAGCTTCTGCTGACAACCATCAGCTTTCAGTGCCAGGTTCATTACACTATTTGCTCCCAACTCCCCCCCACCTGCAACCAGAGGTTTTCAATATAGGAAAATGTCAATTTTATTATACGATACTTCAACAGAAAGTAACTGCAAAAGCATTAAGTCAGTTTATATGAAAGATACAAGAGACATGACTAAAAGTGAGAATACCAAGAAGTGAATCAGAACTAATTAGAAAAAAAACCTTCTAATTACTGACAGACATGAATAGGAATCTAACACTGTGCTTGATAACACACAGTGTTTGGCCATTAGCTTGAAAATGCTAATTACTGTTGAAGGAAAAGTTACTGAAAATCTTGCATAACACAAGATATTAATAGCATGAAGTATTACAGCTCATGTTAAAACACAAAGAATTGATCTGATGAAATAAACTGTTTGCAGAAATTATTTAACAATATTAAGATCTCATGGTGGCAATTTAAACAAAAAATGATCTAAGGCTAAATCATACCTTCAGTAGCATTTCTTCCATGACAGCTCGACTTTGAAGAGTTACAGGTTCATCTTCAATAACAGCTTGCTTTTCTGAGGATCCTAGAACGTAACTGATATGCTACTAGTTTAGATCATGCACTTTTCATTCTGGAGGCAGAAAGCCAAATGTAATACTCATCCACTGTTCTCAATGATTAAGAGATCATGATTAATACACCAAAGTATAAGCATGATTCCAGTGACAACAAAACAAACATGAATATTTGTTAATCTTATAAACAAACTATGGCAGAATGAAGACAGTTTTAAGCATAGAAATACCAAGATACCATAATTTCATGAAAGCTGGAACTTCAAGAGACAGTCATGAATTCTGGTGCTACAGGATAAGGTGAAAAACCCCATACATTAAGAAGAGCGTAGCACTAGATGGGAGAAATAGCCATCACCATTACTGCCAAAGAAAATGCCATTTTGCAGTCATGTTAGTGTTTCGGAGAATTTTACTGCCACAGAAAAAGCAAAGTACCATAGCTGTGGGAACAGATTAAAAGCCCCAACTGCCCCATGTAGGAAGGTGAACATCCACACAGATACAGCAGCAAAAATTAGAACTTAACAAAAAGCAGAAATACTGAAACTAACCCAGACAGAAAGAAACCTATCACTGTTTGCTAGAGCAACAGATAAAAACACTTTGGTGTGGAGAGGTAGGTCAGGATATAGGTATTGAAGAATATTTTAAGACCACTTTTAAGTAGTATAAGCTAATTAAAATCAATACAATACCACATGATCATTTTCTAAACAGTTTTTGACTGCAAGACAGTCAAATGAGAGCCTTTACGCACATACTTGGTTTGCAGATTTCCTTTTGCCTACCTCAGCAAGGAAAAAGCACAGCTGACCAGTACAGGTCAGACCTCACCCTAAACTAAGCAGAGCTTTTGCCCCTTTGCCGATGTTCTCTGCTGATAATCTGTTTATCTGTGATAGTTTACAGACAGATGCATTTGGTACTACCTATGACTATAGGCTCACTTTATACTGTCTGAAGCAGAGCTCATATATAGTCTCCTCTGAATAAATGAGGAGGAACCCTCCCACGTTGTGTTCCTAGTGTTATTTTCTTGGGTTGTATGCTCTTTCTTATATGAAAGGCAGCCCTGGCATTATGTTTTTTTTCTAGGACTTGTCTAACATTATGCAGATGATGTTTCTAACACTTCAGTACTACAATGCTAACAGCAGCAATATAGAAAATCACTCTGGAACAAAGCAGCAGAAACAGCTACCTCTAGACATGCCACTAATATTAACAGGAGCATCCCCCAACATGACGCCTGATAGGCAAAATTTAGCTGTCAGACTTATCAATAAAAATTCTGCCTTTACCTCTCAAGGGAGTCAACACTGAAACAGAACAAATCCCTCTTGTAGTCAAGATGCTTTGGGGTGCATCTGTAAATGCAGCCAAGTATCATTGAGCAGCCAGAGCAGAATAACACTTCTATCATGCTGTAAGAAAGATACACAACATTTAATCAGGAGAAGAGAAACGGGAACACCTTTCCCCACACTTATTAAGAAAAATATATACATAAGTAGATTTTTATCATGTTCTTTAGCACCACAAACTAGTGCTCCAGGCCCAGCTCCCGGCCCTGCCCGGGGGCACACCTGCCCACCAGCAGCACCGCTTAGCGGGCTGCTCCTCACCGCCCCCCAGGACCTCCGGGCGCCCTCAGGAGAGGGAAGGACGAGCCCAGGAGGAGAAGTTCCCCCCCACACACACACCCCCGGGGCAGCAGCCCGGGCCTCACCATCCGCACTCTCCGGGCCGCTTGGAAACCTGCCGCTCCACGTCCACCGAGACGTTGCTGGCCGCACCTGCGCGGAGGGAGAGGGCAGAGGTGAGCACGGGCGGGGGAGCAGGGCAAGGCGCGACGGTGCGAAACGCGGCACTCACTGCGCAGGAGGATGCAGCCCTCCTCCTCGTCGTTGGTCACCCAGCTCAGCGTGTCCCCAACCGGCCGCCTGCACCCGGCGCACAGGAACACCATGGGCTTCATATCTGCTTCCCTCTCGTCCCCGCTTCGCGGCTGCTGTTCCGCCGCCGGCGGCGTAGGAGTAGTAGAATGAGGAGGATAATGAGGATGAGGACGAGGATGATGGTGACGGGAGGGTACCCACCCGTCGCCCATGTCCAGCAACGACAGGGAGGAGTCCAGCTCCGTCACAACGCCCGGCAGCTAGCAGGGCCTGCCCGCCATAGCCTTCAAACAGCCCGCGCCGGAAGCGGCAGTGACGCTTTCCCGCGAGCGCGCCCGGGCGGGAAAAACCCCTGTGGCCAGGCCCCTCGTGGGGGTGGTGGCGGAGGGGAGGCGGGGAGGGAGCCGTGGGTCGGCCTCGGCCTCGGCCTCGGCTGTGTGCGCTGGGATGTGCCGCGGCTGGGCGCACGGGACGGACGCGGATCGGCGCTTTGCAGGCTGCCCCTAAGCGGCCCGGCGCCTGCCGCGCGGCGTGCGTATGCCTTGCTCGCGGTTCGGAGCGGTGTCCCGCCGCGTACCGTGCCCTGGAGGCGCCCCGGGGGGGCTGCTTGCCCGTCCAGAGGCCCGGGCCGTGAGCAGCCCTGACCTCCGCAGCTGCAGCACCGCCAAAGGGGCCTTGGTGGTGCGGCCAGCAGCAGGCTGAGGGGCGCTTTCGCGTTTAGCGGTTCTGTGAGGATGGATGAAGCCCGTTTGTGGTGTTGCCGAGGCACAAAGTTGCCGTGGGCCGAGCACCTCCCACTGGTCTGGCTTAGCGGTGGTAGGGAGCCTGCCGTTCCCTCCGTGGCCTGCGGGGTGGAGGGAGTGGAGAAGTAGCAAAGCAAACTACGTGGTTGTTCCAATACATCATTCATTTTTGAAGCATTTCATCGGGTTTTGCCTACCCCTTTATATCGGGAGAGATCCAGAAATGTTTTTTAGCCTGGCTGAGTGCAGCAGCTCCAGAGCGCTGCGTGGCCACAAGTTTCTGAGAGGGGAGGGACGTGACCCAGCTGGCACTTGTCCACCCCATTCTTAAGTGACTTGACAGCCATCTCGGGTTAAAATATGTAGAGGATAACGTGATTGCCCGCCAGGAAGCGAGAGTCACTGCTGTGTTGTGTCCGTCAGACATCAGTATTCATTGCTGCTAGATGGTTTTCAGTACCAAGGCAGTCCTTGAGCTGCGGGACCCCACAGTGATTTACATAGGCATCAGTTATGCAATCCCTTTCTGAGGGCGCTGAAGTACAATGAAAAAAAGTATTTGGTTGGAGTTCTGAGCTGGTTTAAAATGCACTACTGAAATGGCTAACAGAACAAACTCCTCTGAGTATTTCTGGTCATATGAATATTACTGGGATTATATCGATCCAATTCCAGTAGATGGAAGCAAGTTGAAGGTTAATAAATGTAAGTATTGGAGAGCAGTAGGTGCTCATCTAGACAGGAAAAATGTTGCATTGCTTGTCTCACTGACTTTATTTTTTGTTTTTCTTGCAGTAGAGCCCATGCTGGGTTACGTGTGCGTGGTTTGTGTGGATGAGTGCCTGCCTTCCAAACTGTGCTCTAATAGTAGTTATTACTAATACTGAAACTCTTTGCTTTATCTTACAGTATTTAAAACCATAGGACTCCTGATTTACTTAGAAGGACAGATTTTTTTTTGAGCCGTTTGCTAAGTGGAAACTGAATGACTTTCAAACCTGTAGGTTTGGGTGCTAGTTACCTGTATGCTGCTGTCAGGTTGGCTAAATGAGCAGTTTTCCAGAAGACTATCGAGTTTTCATCTTGGGACGTGAAGATTACATTACAACTGATAAGTGTTCAAAACCTTAATAAAAGAAGAAGTATATGTTTCCATTAGCCAGGAATAAAAAGCTGAAAACACATTCTGTTACCTTTCCTCCTGTGATTTAGTGATACTGAACTGTAAGATAAAGTAATATGCATATTTGTCGAAATACTTTATTGCTGTGGAAGCTGATTCTGCTTGGTTTAGAAGTTAATTTTCAAAGTATATATATTATGAAATAGCATTCACTGAATTCACCCTGCAACAGTTAATTTGTTTCACCCTTGTTTTTGCACAATGAGATAGCAGTGTCTTTTTACGGTTATTTAAAGTGGCAATTAATTTTTCTTTTCCTAATGTAGCTGCATTTTTTATTTCTGATAAGATAAAGTGACAGCCTAAGTCATGAGGGATTAACTTAACCGAGTATAGCTGGATGGATTGACGAAGATCAGGGGAGAGGGGGTGGGCATGTTTGAGTCACTTAGGCTATAGGCAGCATTCTCCCTCGATTTCTGCCATGTCTCTACCTGTGATTGTATCCTCGTGACAAAGCTTTACTGGTTGCTATTTAGTTTACTGAAGACAAGTATGACTGTTCACATACGGTTTCAGACGCTAAAATTTCAGACACTAAAATTTCCCCAAGGTTATTATAGAGGTCTGGTCTGTGAAAAAAGCATGATAGTGTTTCAGAATATTTTTGTGTCTCTCTAATTAGCAGTACATGTAACTGTCTTTCTAATAGTAAAGATTCAACTGGACAATGCTCAGAGCTCTGTGTCCTTTGTTTGCCTTTTGAAAGCAAGAATAAGAAAAGCGAGTAGAAACTCTTACTGTACTCTGCCTCTAGAAAAGTTTTTCTGTCCACTCAGATAAGCCTGGGGTTAAAAGCACCATGCCTTAAAGAACGTGGTGTAAATATCCACGTCCTTCCAAATCTTGCTCCACCATACCATAAAGCAACATTTGGTGCTGCTGGGATCAGGCAGGTTATGAGCAGCTTTTCTAATTAGCTTAATTTTAAAGTTAGGGTAGCTTATTACCCCTGAATTCCAGCAGGGAAAACCCAAACTGCTGAGTGAAGTTAGCTGTAAGTCCCCAGCGTGTGGCTGGCTTAGCAAAAACAAACCAAACCAGACCAACAAAAATGAGGAATCTTACCTCTTTTTCTCATTAATGATTTCTTTCTAACATTTGGGTTGCCTGACACATAACAAGAGGTGGAGTTTGTGTTACAGCATTTCCCTCTTTGGCAATTTGTAGGATATTTCTTTTTACCCTTCTGCCTGTTGTCTTGAAACTCATAGAACCTGTGCTTCTGAGAGAAGATGCTCACCCTGTGTTAAATTTAAACTTGTTGATAGTTTCATGAAGGAAATTAACCACACACTGTGTGAGTGCTTATGAGTGACCTTGTAAGCCTTATTTCAATTAAAAAAGCAGAGTAAACCTATATCTTATAGATTCATAATTTTTTAATTTGTTCTCTTTCCCTAAAGAAGTGAGGAAGTCTGCCACCTTTCAGGTCCTTTTGTATCCTAAGGAGATGATTTATGCAATCATACTTTGTGTTTATGCGTCTCATCTGCTCCTAAACTAACTCAAACTTAATCTAGTTAGAAAGGAGTGGAGATCTCAAAAATAGAAAATATATGCAAATTCCTACAGCTGGTGAGTAGATGATAGAGGAAGAACATTGTGAGTGAAGACCTTTACTGACAAAAAGGCTGCCGGGTGAGATCATGCCCTATTGGACACCAAAGAAAATCACTTTTGAGCTCAGCTTTGGGAAACAACGCTGCAGGGAAAACAGATTTCTGTGCCCAGCTTCCAGACAAAGAAGAAAGATGCAAGCATAGGGTTTGGGATGTACTTTTTTTCCCCCTCAGCAGGTTAATATTAAGGCAATTTTAGTTCCCTGGGGAATCTGTTTATTTCTAGGCAGCTTGTCAAAATGGAGTGCTCCTCCATTGTGCCTTTTAAAGAGCCCACATTGCCTATACCACTTACTAAACTAAACTAAAAATGTTGGGGATTTTTTTTCTGATAGCCAGGTGAAACTTCTTTTTATTTCTTTTTCTTCCTATAAATATTTTTCATGTCAGCAGTCTAAGAGGAATGGAGATAGCATCACCTTGGTGCTTTTATTCTTCCTTCTCCAAACACCAGTGGGAGAACAGTTACAAGTTGTAAAGAAAACACCAAGGGAAACAATTCCATAGTTGGATAGTTCTTTCCCTGTTTTGAGTAAAAGCACTAGCCAAGCAATGACTATACTTTGTAGATTTTCCTGTCTTTGTAGTAGTATTTACATTCTTATAACTTCAAAAGCCACTGTTAGGATTAATGTCTTCATGTGCTTGGAAGTGTGTAGAAGAAATAAGTTCAGCAAGTCTTTGCCCTTTGCGCTGAAGATGAAATGTGATAATTTTCCCTCAGATAGACAAAAACGTTCCAAGTTTATCAAAATATAGGCTACCTCTGGGATCACAATAACTGCTGTGTTGATGTTCCAGAGGGCGTCTGCTGACTGACTGCAATGGGACCTGGATGTTTGTTTAGGTGCATTGCTGAATCAGCCCAAATGAATTATACTGTCGTCATGACCCCTGGGATGGGATTATAGCTCCCTAATTCAGTTTTGCCTGTTTTGGTTCTTTCATTTAGTGTAAAACCGGAGACCTGAAGCTCTGCACTTTCTTTCCTCCAAAATGGCCTGTCCCTGAAGCATTGTGAGACTCTGTATGTCTCATGAAAAGGAATCTAAATCCAACCATAAAGTCATGGTCTTGCTTCCTATTAATAGTGTTATGCAGCTCTCTCCATTTTGTATAAAAATAATAAAATGCTAAATTGGCCCATGAACTAACAGGCTATTTAAAAACATATGCACACACACTAAAGGTGACTGTAAAGTTTAGCAATAGAAAAGCTTTTTATAGATTGTTAAAATAGGTTATTCCAGTTTTAAAAAAAAATCAAATTGCACGACTTTGAAAACAGGAAGTTTCTGTTTATCCCTCAAGAGTTCAAACTCCCCCTGAGACCCGGAACAAATTTGTTTAGCTTTAGTGAATTCCATGATTGTATTAATGCTGCTTTTAAAAGATGCAACCAAAATAGCTCTGATTGATAGGGAATTCTATAAATTCAAAGTATTCTTTTCCGTTCTGATGACTTTGAACAGTTCAAAACTTTGAGCTTTTCAAAATACCCATGGACCATGATCTTGTCCCCTAATTTTCCCTTGAGCAGTGTGGGTGGGCCAGTAGCATCTCATCACTTTTTCCCATAATGTGTTTGGGAAGAGCAGGTCAGAATATATATAATCAATAGAATCACAGAATGGTTTTGGTTGGAAGGGAACTTAAAGATCATC